GATACTATCTCAAATACTTTATGCCCTAAATTTAACCTCTGGTCTTTTTCTCAAACCTATTCTACCTCCAACTTACCTTATTTGGGATGACTTCAGTTCAATTTTCTTTTGGCTGAAACTTGAGTTTTTGACCCGTGTCTTTCTCTATACTTTGCACCCTATTTGCAAGTCCTTTTAGGTGGCATTCTACAGGAAACCTATTCGGATACTGCGATTATCTTCAGGAGATTTTGAGAGAAATGTTCCTGGGAGCAAATTTATGGAGGGAAATCTCGGGAAGCAGAATTGGGCAAGGGAGGAGATGAGCTGGAATGTATTTGCAATGTTGGCCTCAGTCAATTTCACAGAGCTTTGGAGCTGGAATTGCTCTTCAGAGATCCTCTCCCCACACAGCACCATCCATCAGTGAGTAGGTATGCCTTGCTCCTAAGAAAGGCAAATTATCTGGGACTGAGCAGTAGCTGTCAGCTAAAGTCAGTTCCTGGAGAGGGTATTCAGATGAGTCATCAGCAGCCAATAAACTCTGTGAATGAGCAGAATCTCAGCACTGCCAACAGCATACACTGCACTTTGTTTACCTCTATAACCTAACCTGTCTCACTGTGTCTATTTTTGCCCCTGTTATGTCTATTTTTACATAACAGCCAGAATAGTTTTGAACCAAAGACAAAATCATTTTACTGTTACACTTAATCTTTTTCAGTTATTTTTGTCTCCTACTAAAAGACAAATCTTTCCAACTAGGGTAAAATAAAATGTAAAAAAAAAAAAAAAAAAATCTATGGCATTGCTTATATTAAACAGTATTTCTACCATGAAAGACAGAGGAAATTTGATCCAATGCAGAGGAATTAGTCTCTGTGGGTCAGAGCCTTCAGATTAACTGTGAACATAACTTACAATCAGTTCAATGCATTGAAGATTTACTCTTATAGTGGCATATATAAGGAAGACCATCTCCTTAACCAAAGGCAAGTCAAACCTTTTTATTTTAACTTTTTTTAGAGACAGCGACTCACTGTGTCGCACAGGCTAAGAGTAGAACTTCAAATGGCAAAAGCCACAGTGAAAGAAGGAAAGAGGAAGAGGAAAAGTAATAGATGACTTGAAACTAATCCTTTCCTTGCCATTTCAGGATTGGTTTGTTTTGGAGCTCTGTGCTACTCCAGTGTAGTTTGGGATTTCTAGGAACCATGATTACCCATCAAGTCCATTATTTTGAGTCTCCATGGTGGAGTTGTATCACAGAGAGCAAAAGTCAGAAGTTTACTGTCAGGCTAATGTTACTCTTCTGTGAAGCAGTTGTTCTTATTCTTTCATCTGTGTCTCAAACTGAATTCATCTATTTTGCAATCTCTCACAAATTTCAGGCTTAGGAATATGCAGTGGAAAATGTATTATGCACATGCATGTCAAGAATCAGTAAAAATTTATTTTAGCAGTGGTTGGATATGTCCTACATGATCTGAGATGACCTTCTCTTTCTGACCTTCTTTCCTCATCACTAATTCTGCTACAGCCACACTAGACAGCTTGCCAGTCTTACATCACATCAGGCATTGAAATTTTTCACTGACTTTTCCTTCTTTGAGACACTCTTTGCCCTGGTATTACCTAACACCTCTCCTCTTTCAAACATTTGCTCAAATCTCACCTCTGCAAAAGGCTTAGCTTTATGTCCCTATTTATTAAAATACTCTGTGTTCATAATCTCCCTTTGTTTTTCTCTTCTTTATTTCCCCTGTAATAGCACATATCAGCTCAAATCATCATCACCTCTGACCTTACCTCTAATTTTGGATGAAAACATTGATTCTGAAGACACTTTGAAGATATGACATTATATTCCAGATGTGATCATATGATATGTAACCTATAGTCTGTTTGCTTTACACTATTCTGCATTTAAAAGAGAAGGCCAGGACCCACCATCCACTGGTGGCATGATTTTGGAAAATTCACTTAATCTGTTGGGATTTATACGGTTATGACTACTGGCCGTCTTTATCACCTATCTTAAGTCAAGTTCTGCAGCAGCAGAACATGAGACCAGGATTTGTGTGCAAGTGGTTTACTATAGAAATGTTTTCAGATAAACTGGTAAAGACTAGGATAGCCCAGGCAAGGGTGCAAGTTCTGGCCAAGTCCAGCTTCGACCTGACCATGGAGTGAAGCTCTGGGATATAAATTCTATCTTAGCATTTGACCACACAGGAGGCAAGATAACTGAGTTTCAAACAGAACACTTGAAACTGGGTAATTTATAAAGAAAGAGATTGCATTTCTTATAGTTTTGGGGACTAAGTCCAAGGTCCAGAGACTCCATGTTTGAGAAGACCATAATCCAGGAGTCGCATCTGGGGAGGGTCTTGTTGCTGGTGAGGCTCTCAGCAGAGCCCTGAGTCAGTGCAGATCATTGCGTGGCAAGGGAGTTGAGCTTGCTAACATGCTAGCTCAGGTCTTTCTTTCTCTGCTTATAAAGCCACCAGTTCTCCTTCCACGATTACCCATTAATCCATGGATTAATCCATTCAGGAGGCAAAGCTCTCATATAGCAATCACTTCTTAAAGGCTCCACCTCTCATTACAGTCACACTGGAAATTAAGCTTCTTTTGTTTCTTTTTCTATTTTTTCTTTCTTTTTTTTTTTTTTGAGACAAGTTCTCACTTTGTCGCCCAGGCTGAAGTGCAGTGGTACCATTAAGTTCACTGCAGCCTCTGCTTCCAGGGCTCAGGTCATCCTTCTGCTTCAGTCTCCCAGGTAGCTGGGACCACAGGTGTGCACCACTACACTCAGCGAAGCATTTGTATTTTTTGTAGAGATGGAGTTTCGCCATGTTGTCCAGGCTGTTCTCAAACTCATGGGTTCAAGCGATCCACCCACTCTGGCCTCCCAAAGTTCTGGGATTACAGGCATGTGTTACCCCGCCTGGCCTGGAAGTAAGTGTAAAGATGAGATTTGGAGGGGACACGGCATGCTTGTAGTTATTTTTCCTTATAAATCATATTGTAATTATCTTCTCTGCTAAATTATCATAAGAACTCCATTTTTAATAAAGTCTGGCATTTGGAAAAATCCTAGAATATTCTTTGTAAATTAAAATATATGCTGTTAGGAAGATTATTTAATGTAATGTATCATGAATGCTAATAAAACGTAGAGACACTACAAGTAAGCCAAAGAAACTTTTATTTATTTACTTAAGTAGTCTATGAAAGTGTGCAATTTATTCAATGAATTGTGGCTAATGGGTGATGCTGTAGAGTCTCAAATTACCAACTCTAAGCTTCATTTCTTTCTGTTTCCACTATCTGCTGAATGGAAGGAATAGAAAAGAACATTGCAGTGGAGATGGGTAAAGCAAAATGTGGAAAAATAATCAAAACAGATGAGTAACTAAGAAAAAGAAATTAGGAAAATAGATGCTTTCTAGTTACCGATGCTTCTGTTTTTACCAATTGCCACCAGAACCGATATAGAAATATCAATAGATGATTGCTTTTGTGTATTATAGAGGACTGGTTTCAAAATTACTTAACTGATTGATTGATGCCTAATTTGCCTGCTCATTAAGCATCACAAGGTGTACTGTACCAGGAACTAGGCACATAATTTTGAACATCTTTTAAATCTAATGGCATTTTCCTTTGTAATTTTGTGTATTGCAGCTGAAAGACTAATAAAAAAAATGGACCAAAATCTAGATTTGGTTTTGAAATATAGCATAATAATAAAATAAAGTCAGGTAAGGGTTAATGGTTTTGAAACAAGCAGCCACCTGCAAAAACTGCCCACACAAAGAAATGATAAATATTCCAGGAGATGGACAGGCTAACTACCCTGATTTAATCATTAGGCTTTGTATCCCATAAATATGTACAATTATCATGTACAACTAAAAATAAAAGGAATCACTGTGTCAACTAAAAATAATCATGTGTCAACTAAAAATAAAAGGAAAAAAAGTTGATTAATGAAAAAAAAGGGAAAGAATACAAAGCAAAGAGGACTAAAACACTACTTTCAAACCCTCATTCAAGACAAGGAAGCAGAAATGACCATGTTTGAAAGCTGCTAAACTTGAACCTCTGTGACAGAAGATTTGATTCAATGAACCAGAGTTGTTAGGAATCAATTATCTATAAACTGAAGTAATAATATTCCTCGAGCAAATACTTGCCTTATATAAACCCTTCATAATGACAGCAAATCAAGAAAACTATACAATGACTGAGATTCATTTATTGTAGAAGCAAATACAGATAAGAGCTATAGCAAACCTTTCTGAAAGCTTTGTCTAACCCTTCAAAGCTGAATGTTTTCAGCTGAAAGGGCTCTTCAGTTTTCTTAGAATGTTTACTATTCATCAGAGTGTTTCTACAAAATTTGACCAAAGAGTTAGCTAAAAATTATACTAGTAATGACTACTGTACTGGAAAAATGTGAAATATAAACAGCTCCAAATTGTTTGCAATTGAATGAAAGGTAAGGTACATTGTTGTCTTTTGTTTGTTTTTCTTGCTTTTTTTTTGGCTAATCTTAATTCTTTTTTTCACAGTTGGCTAGGTGTTGAAATATTCTGAGGAAAGAGAAATGACAATGTAGACATTTAAAATCTTATATTAGCTTAATAGTACAGTTAATGTGTCATGATTATCATGTACATATAGTTTTACAAATGTGTCTATCCAGATTAAGGAGGTTCAATGTTAGTGCTAGTCTACTAAGAATACCTATTTTAAAATCATAAGCAAATTGAATTTTTGAACTACTTTTTCTAGATCTGTTGAATTGAGCATAATTTTCCTTTTTTTGTATTTAAAACAATACAACTTTTATTTTTGCTTCAAGTGTGCAGCTTCTACCAATTGTCAAAATATAATCTCAGTTAAGAATACTCACCTCATTTTTTTTAATCTCAGACCTAAAATGTGTGAGAAGAAGATATAGTAAGCTATACATGATTTTCTTTTAATAGCACCTTGAAAAAGTACACTGCACCAGCAAGGGCATTAAGAGGGGGAGAAATGCCTTCAGACCCAATGGTTATAGGGTGTATGTATGTGAGAGCATAAGGAATCGTGGTGACAACATTGTCATGGGTTAATGTTAATGCTTTATGAGAAGAAACTTGGTTCAAATAATTTCCTTAGAGGACAGTTCAGGACCTTCAACAGCTTCCTGGTCTTTTCGCTTTGAGACCTTCATTTTCTTATTCTTAGCTTCTTCAGTCTGAAATTTAATCTTGTTTAGTTCAGGACCATGTTGGGGCTTATTCAGGTTTTTGTGCTGGTGAAAGACAAGGAAGAGGTTAGTTGATTGACTAGGGTTTAGGTGCTCACAGGAGCTGTGTGAAGCTCTCACAGGGCACACTGAATCAAAACTGAGCTGTGCCGTGACCACCCAACCAATATTTGCAGCCAAAAAGATGTGCTCACTCTCTGACCAACACTCACCTAGGTGGGACAGTTTCTCTTCAGCAGGTGACAGGGGGTCGTCAGACAGCAACTCGTCTGATAGAGGCTCATTTGCTTCAGAATGCTTCTCATCTTCTTCCATCAAAGAGGCGAGGTCTTGAGAAGAGGTGAGGAAGGGGTGCTGCTCGCTTGGCTGATGAGAAGTTAGTGGCTCAGTTAGACCAGTGGGAGGCTCAGAAGAAACCAAGGGCTCTGTCACAGGAGGAGACAGAGTGGGGAGAGAAGCCACTTCACCAGGCTGTGCAATTCTAGAGCATTCCGCCGCAGCTGCATTGGCATCACTGAGCCTTCCAGAAGGCATCGTGCAGTGAGCAGTGGGGAATGCTACTTTTTTCTGAAAACCTGTAGGGGACTGTTGCATCCTTCTTCAATAGAGCTGAATGGCTGACGCAGTCTTTGGGGACCAGCAGAAGCCTGGAGATGCAGTGGCCTTTTTCACTGGGTGATGAATGGATGGCATCAGAGAAAAGGTTTTAGTGTTGTGGCCTCGCAAATCTTTTAGGATAAAATAGGCTTCAACTTTACTTTTTATTTTAGGTTGCACGGTGTCTGTTTTAATTGAGAAAACTGGCAGCAGTGAAGCCTTACTGATGTTTATTGTTGCTGAGTTATTCTTCCACTTGATTTGGGGAATGATTTTTGGCTCCACTGCCCTTATCTTATGTGCGAGAACCTCCATCATCATCACAACCCTCTTCTTCCCTTCTTCCCAGAACTTGGGAACAGGCTGAGTGAAACATATTCTTTTTTTATTTTTATTTTTTGCATCAGGGTGCCAGGACCTCGATGGCCCCAGATTTGATTTTGGCTTCCATTCCCTCCCTTAAGCCAAACTCATCGGAAAGTTTATACAGAAGTAGCACATGGAGCTGTTTATCTTGAGGAATAACACCCAAAGAGCAGTTACCTTCTTGAATGAAAGTACAAACCACAGTGCTTCCATTATTCATGTTGTGAATGTCTCTGTGGGGCTGGGCAGAGAAGTCCAGGCAATCAATGATGCCAGAGAAGGAACAACTATCCTTGCTGCCAAGCTAACATTCTTGTGCAACATTTTCATGTTCCACCTGATTTTGGTAAGCTAATGGAGCATCTTGCTTATAAATTGGAGCTAATTGTGTAGCCAAACTCTGTAAGTTATCTTCAAGTTTTTTTCCATGGCCTCGTGTTCCACACAAATTTGTTCTAGTTTTATGCATTGTCTTTCTGGATTATGTCCTTTAGTAATTCTTTCATAGTAGGTATCTGAGAGAGCTTGAACCAATTCTAAATTTTCTGGAGCTTGGACCTCTCCCAAACTTACCCCCATTAAAGTACATGCTCCATGAACAGCCAAAGGAGAATGAAGCATGAAGCTCCACACATCTCTGGATCAATTCCTTGACATGTACAGGTACAATTTTAATGGAGGGTGCATCTTCGGTTGGTAGGATGAATATTGTATGACCTTAGATTCTTGGTGGGCTCTGTGTACAGCTAGTCAGCCACAGGGAAACGAATGCCATCTCACACCATGATGAGCATCACTATCACAGCAGTTGAACCGTGGTGGTCTATACACTGCTAGACCAGAGGGCCTTTTCTGTATCATTGCTTCTTCTTAAAACCCACTTAATGATTGGACACCTATTACAGATTTTCCCTTCATTACCAGTATACACTACTGTTTCTATCCTTATTATGTTTCCTTTTTGACCATACCTATTCATCATGATTTCCCTGACAGCAGCAACACCTGGTCCTTCCCCAGGTGTATATAATATGAGCCTTTGGCTTTTCATGTAACTCGATCAAGACAGTTGCAGGTGGGCAGTTCAGAATCTTTAGTTATAGACATCAGGTTTTTTGTAGAGATAGATAGTAAAGAAGTTCATGGCATAATCACTAAAATTTCTCTGTGCATGCTCTGCTGTGGAAAACTCTGATGTTTCAACACTGGATGAACATACTTCCTCTTCACTTTTGGTAGAAACCGTCGTAATTCCACCAGAACATGTAATATTTACATTCTTAAGAGTTGGTACTGACTTCGGTAAAGGTGTCTCATAAGAGATACAAGGTAACGTTATCAGTCTTGGATGCATGAGTTGCTCTTTAACAGCAACAGTGGGCTTCTTTTTCCATCAATCTCCTGATGAGGTGGATTTTGTCTTTTTCTGGGTTGTGTTTTTTTGCTTTGTTAATGATGAACTATGATTATTTTGTATACTTGAAGGTGGTTTCTGTTGTATCATGCCCTTCCCCTGACTGTATTTTTGCTGCACGTTATATGCAACAAGGCTTGTCAGTGTACTTTCAACTTTTTTGTCCTCTGGTTTTATATAATTTATAAATTTTATATTGAATTTAATTATTGAAGTAAGTTGTGTCAACTGTGTTGCAACATCTTCTTCAATTGGAGTATGGGCTACATCCTGACATGATAGGTCATCTAAACCAAATGTTTGCTGTTGTCCAGTAACTGGTTACGATACCCTGACTTATTATTTCTTGGTGACAACTGATGCAAATTCTTGCAACAACTGTCAACAGTAATTATACTTTGAGCAATACTTTTATTGGCATCACTCTTGGGGTGAATTTAATTCTGGTATAAAAAGAGATAACTGGATGTTCTCTGCTCTGATTCTTCATCATTCTCTGACTTTGATGGGGAGGAATTACCTGATAGGGCTTCTGAGAGCTGAGTCAAGACCTCTATGCCTACCACTTGCTCCAGTGTTAATCTCTTATCTTTCATAAAGGGTAAGAGACTTGGTTGAGATCCATCTTTTAGTTCTTTACTTGGTATAACCTCAAGAGTTTGTGATTTATCAACTTCATTGTGTGTACTACCAGGCCAGTTTATGTTGGAGTGTGAAGGATGTGGAATGGAATTGCAATTAAAGCCAGACTGCTGGAAGACTAAAACATTACTTCTCCCTTTGAGATGATAACAATTTGCATTAGTAGTAACGGAGCTCATGGCATCATTATGGTCTGTGGGTTCTTTCAGGAATTTATAAGATTGTTTTCAAATATCTTGACAAATTCTTCAATATCAGAGTTTTTAAATGACACACTTGTTTCAGTTGATAAATAGTGTACATGTTTAGTGCCATTTCTTACAGTCTGTACAGTTTTGGAGGTTTGTCTCTTGTCAACTTCAGAGTTTTTCGATTTTTCAGCTTCTGGGACATTAGCACTGAAATCTCCTTTGACATGATCAGTTAAAGGTAATTTCTTGTTGGACATCTCCACCTCAATGGCTATCACGCTGTCTTCAATTTTAATTATCATTTCAAGGGGATGTGGATTCAATTCCAATCCTTGTTCTTCCCCATCTACTGTAGTCCATGGATTCTGACTTGGGGACATTTACTGGTTTGTTGTCAAAATCTGCCTTTAAAACTTTGGGCTTCTTTTCCCTCTGGGGCCTCTTGATTTCCTTTACAACCTCCAAAGGCACAATGGCAGACAGTATCTTTTCCAGCTCTTAACATTTCCTCTTTTTACAGATCTGATGGCTGTTCTTTCTGTTCTTGCAATTAGTGCATTTACCAAAGTTGGACTTCTGCTGGTAGGATTCGCAGACCTCATATTGCTTTCATTTCCTTTTTTTTTTTTTTTCAAAGTGGGTAATAAAGTGGTGTAAGAAGCAGAGATACTTACCAGTCGAACTGGCATAGTCACCACTGTGGTGTTGACAACATGAACCATGCTGGTTACGCTGACCTGGGAACTCCCTCTTTCTGAATCGCTGGGACCAGCCTGGGAGAGTTGGGCAATACCCAGTGAAGCATGGAAGAGTCTTTTCTCAGGGGCTATTATGAAACCCCGAGTGTTATCTGGCAGAAAGCTTATATGAACTTGCTTTTCATTTTCTACATTGCTTATAGCCATTGCTGGAGGTAATGATTTTTTTCTCTGGGATTGATGATGATTGAGGAGTGCGTCCTGAGTCCAGAGGTAAAATCTATATAGCACTCTGGACTGCAAGCCCATATGAGACAGTGCCGTAGGGCTCAGGCCATCTGGGAGGAGCATTACAGGTAGCAATTAGATTTGGAGGAACAGGAAGGAAGAGAGGCAAGTATGGGACAATGCTCCCACTCATACCAAGGGTTTCTTTTTGGTCTAAGATAGCACCAAAGAGCTCTTCTTGGACTGGAAAAGCACCAGGAATCTTTGGTGGATCTGGGGTCTTACCCAAGGCATTACCATGAAGTTCCCATTGATGTGGGATAGCACTGAAGATCTCTGTCCTAGGACAGAGGTGGTATTAGCAACTTCCTGTTGATTTGTAGTAGCTTTGAGGGCATCTTGATGATCTGGTTTAGCACCAAGGATTGCTTGTTCTTAGCCTGCCAAAAGGAATTTTATTAGACATGTAGAGGATATAGACCTACCAAAAGCCAACCAGTTTCTAAGGTTCAATTCAGAGATAACCTTATTAAAACTGGAGGTGGGATAGCAATCATATTCACTTTTCATGGGATCCATGTAAGAATCAGATAACTTAAGGGATTCTACTCATTAACCCAACTCTTCTATTTGAATTCTGAGGTTTCCTTGAGAGATAACTTTTGCACTTGTTCTTTGTGGCAAAGGAGCACACACAGTGCCCTGAGCAAACAGTCTTGGGGAACCGCTAGTATCATTCAATGTTTCTTCAGAGAATGGTCCTTTACCACAGGATGTCCTTTCCAACGGACCAGAAAGGATCTCAGCTGAAGGGCCACGGAGGGTAGGGATATTGATTTTGGATCTTCAACCCTTTCATACCAGGACTGAGTTTTCCCTTGGCTCTTATCTTTAATGAAAGAGGGATTTTGTACCCCAGATAGAGCCTCTGTATCAGGAAGGATGTGAGGGTCCTGCATTGGGACCGAATCATTTTCTGAGCTTTTTACTCCCAAGTCAGTGAGTATCTTATAATCACAATCATGTAGCTTTTCTACACCCTTAGAAGGTGGAACTTTCTTGAAATTGGCTATGCCCAGTGGGGGTTGGGAGAGTCACCTGCTAAGAAAGGTTCTTCTTAGAGTCATTGTGAGCCCACTGCAGGTTAAGAACCCTGGGTTCTGAAAAGAAACCTCAGTCCTATCCCAATTCACATATGCTGTTCCAGCTCTTGTCAGAAAGCTTCTGACTGGCATGGATGGTTTAGGTTCTGTTCTTTTTCTTAGCATCTCTTTCTTGAATTAACTGCTTTAATTTTCCAGGACTTAAAGCCTTGACTGATGCCACATTTTCATTGGCTGTCTTGGATGCCTTCAGTAGTTTTCTGTTTTTCTTTTTGTTTGCATCTTTCTTCCTGACTAACCCGGAAGCCTCGTGTGGCAGGATCCAGACATAGCTACAGAGTAAAAAAATAAATAAATAAAAGGCACAGGAAATAGTCCTTTGTCCTTTAGAAAGTCTAACTTTTGAGGATAATCTGGATGCAGTGTTCTTGAGCTCATTCACACAAGGTTTTGGTGCTCACCAGTGCATTATGAGGAACACAGATGATCACCCAAAGAGAACACGCTAAGGGCATGGTTGTGGAGGGAGGTATCACAGAGTTCCCATGCCCTGTCTGGGCACACTACCTTCCCAGCAGCTCCAAGAGTTCAGCCACCCCAAAACTCATGAAATCTCCTAGCTCAAAAGTTTTTATAGAAAATAATCTCCAATGTGCCTATCCTGACCCTGCTCCCACTGCCATCCTCTGCCTTTCCCGGAAGCTGGGTCACTTTTTTGTAGTTTTGATATTGTTTAATATGTTGATATATTTTAAAATGCTAAAATAACCTTGTAATTGTGGGATCAATGAAAATTATTTGTGAAACCCATTCCTTTTTTATATAACACTAAATTTGTTGTGGTAATATTTTGATTAAATTTTTGTACCTATGTTCATGAGAAACATTGATCTTTGATTTTGATTTT